CGACAATACCTCTCAGAGGACGCTGCTGCAAGGCTAGCTAATTTGAAATCGGGTGTGAGTAATACAGTCAAACCTAGTTAGTATGCGAGCAGGTTGCTAACGCAGGGCGAGAGGGTGTGATGTCACAGCACGAGCATCCCTGGTTGTCCCGTTGTCAGATAAACGTAGTGCATAGATCCGAGTTCCTCCTCCAGGTCTCTGAAGCCCAGTGCCGGCCTTTCACTTCTGCTGGGTGGCCTGGAAGGCCTTCAGCTCCACCTGGTACCACTCAGGCGCTTCAGGCCCGCTCTTGCCTGGGGGGCTGTGGTCATAGCCGTAGGCAACGGTGAGCTCCTCGTCAGCCTCCACAGCTTGCAGGGTGCGGATGCACTTGATGGATCCAAAACGGGGGTGGACAAACCTAAATGGGAAGATGCAGGCTGTTATTCCCAGGCCAGGTCAGTGGGGCAGAGGCTACAGAGAGGTGGATGTGAGAACTGACCCCCCGTGTTCCCCTCCCTAAACGCCAGTGGTAGGTACTCAAGGTGTAGGCCACAGATTCAGGGTTTGTGCACATCCCAGGCTTCGGCTCTACCTGGGAGCTTGCAAGACAGTACTCAGCCCTCCCGAGACCTGCTGGGCTCGAGTGTGTGTTTACTAACATGGGTGATGCACTGGCCTGCTGAAGTTGGATAAGGCTGCTTTATCTTTTTAAACATTTGCCAGAGGGCACGTGCACTAGCCAGAGAGACAGACAAAGAAAGGGAGAAGGTACCCCACAAAAGGGCGTTATTGCACTGTAATCCCTTGTCTTCCATTTCTTCATCTCACTGGGATTTTTGGGGATACATGCACATGCATCCCAGAGTGCTTTTTTTTTTTTTTAAAGAAGTATTCACTTAGTTTTTATTTATTATTTTAAAATTTGCTATAGGACACACCCACCCACCAGAGGGGTGGGAGAGTGAAAAACAAGCTGCCAGGTCTGGGATTTGAACCCTGATCAGCCATATGGGAGTTCAATGCCCCAACTACCATGCCACCTGCCGACCCCTAATTGGAGTGTTCTCTCTTAACTACCAGGCCTTTTGGCTGGCCCCATCTGTCTTCCTTCTTTTTTTTTTTTAAGGATTATTTTATTTTATGTATTATTATTTTTTAATTTGGCCAGAGAGAGGAAGAGAAAGTGAGAAGGCAAGCTACCAGGTCCGAGACTTGAACCACGGTCTGCCAAGATTATTTTATCTTATGTATTATTATTTTTTAATTTGGCCAGAGAGAGGAAGAGAAAGTGAGAAGGCAAGCTACCAGGTCCGAGACTTGAACCACGGTCTGCCAAGTTAGAGTTCAGCACCCCAATGGCCATACCACCTGCCTGCCTTGTCTTCCTTTTTGAGCATATGTGGCACTCTTTATTCATAAAACAACAATCATGGTCAATAGTAAAGATTTGTCCTTGGGGCCAGCAGGTGGCATCATAGTTAATGTGCTGGATTTCTGGATGGCCAACCATGGTTCAAATCCTGGACCTGGTGACTTGAAACTCACACTGCGTGCCCGTGTGTGTGTGCCCAAAATCCTAGGAGGAGAATGGAAGAGAAGGGATTGCATCATGAGCATCCCCTCTAGGGGGTGATTTCTCACTTTCCCTCTCACTGTTCCTCTGTCTCTCTAGCAATTGCATGTGCCGTAAGGCAAAAATCTAAAAAATAAAAATTAAAAAAAAAAAAAATTGTCCTTAGTGAGAAAGCAGACCCAGTGCAGCCCTCCAGCAGTGCCTTAGGGGGGCGGCTTTGCTAAGGTGCTCTGGAGCTCTAAGAAACAGTCCTGTAGATTTTCAAAAGCAAAAAAGCACTGTATTTCCCCATTAACGAGGAGGAAGTTTATTATTTTTTTAAAATTTATTTTTAAAGAATTATTTAATTTTTATGTATTCACTTATTTTAATTTGACCAGAGAGAAACACACACACACACACACACACAGAGGGAAAGTGAGAAAGCAAGCCATCAGATCCGGGACTCTAACCATGGTTGGCCATGTGGGAGTGTCCAGTACATTAACCACCGCGCAACCTGCTGGTCCTGGAAATTAATTTTTTTAGCATAAAAGTAGCCAAAGACTTCTTTTTAGGAGGGAAGCCTCGATTTCCTAACCACCTGCTCCATTACTCTCCCCTGAAGCATCCCGAGCATACACTGTCAGCTTACCCACAGCGGCTGAATTAAGGCAGGGCCAGAAAGAAACGTGCTTTGTCTTAATAGACATCTGATCTCATCCATTTATAGTCTTTTTTTTTTTTAAGAGAGAGATTTGCTACAGGGCATGTGTGCTCACCAAAGAGACAGAGACAGAAAGTGAGAAATCATCTCCGGGGGATGGCCATGTCGCAGTCCCTTCTCCATTCTCCTCTTGGGATTTTGTGCGTCAGGTGTGAGTTTTAAGCTGCAGGGTCTGGGCTGAACCATAGGGGACCAGGTCCCTACCTGATGCCTTAACCACTGCACCATATGCCGGCCCCTATTGAGCAAAGAGCAGATGAGACAGCAATGAGACGCTCCCAGACCTGGGTTAGGTGGGCAGTGGTCGCAAGTACTGGCTGGTGTATGGCCACAGTGATGGAGAAAGCCGTGTCTGTGGTTTGGGGGTATCTCTGTGGAGTGCAGAGGAGCCACTCCCACCTCACACTGAGGGGGCTCCACATTCGCCCCATTTGTGTATCAGCTCCTGTGAAAGAGATGTGTCGTTTGGGCTTGGAAGACTTTGGAATGAGTCCTGGTGCCATATCTCAAAGCTGTGTGCTCTTGAAAGCCCTGCCTAGTATCCCTGAACCCCGCGTTCCTCCTCTGTAAAATCGCGATGGCCCTGGAAATACCTGCAGGGCTTCGTGGTGACAAAATGGGGTCACATACAGAAAGCATGTCATACGGTGACTGGTACAAAGGAAGGACTGTGCTAATATTAGTTACTGTGTGTGTGAGTGTGCATGTGTATGTGTGAGAGCATGCATGTTTGTGAGCACACACATGCATGTGAGAGCATGCACATTTCAGCTTGCAAGTGCATGTGAGCATGCATGAGTGTGGAAGCATGTAAGTGCACAGAATCATCAGGTTGTGCTTCATCACAAACGAGACATCTGGACCAGGGATTCAGGAACTCCTTATTAAAATGAAAGCTCACGGGCCAGCCCCATGGCCTGGTGGTGAAGGGAGCCAGATCCTACGTGGTTGACCACATGATTTGAGACTTGGACCCAGTGGCTTGGAAAGCACACCAGTCACACCTGGCAGTGGTGTGGTGGTTGAGGTGTTGGACTCCTGCATGGCCAACTGCAGTTCAAGTCCCAGACCTGGTGGGTTGCTTTCTCACTCTTTTATTCCCACCCCCCCATCTCTCTGGTCAAATTGAAGAATAAAAATAAATACAATTAAATCTAAAAACGTTTTTTTAGAATTATTTAATTGTATTTATTTGTTTCTATATGTTTAATCTGACCAGATAGAGACAGACACACAGAGAGAGAGAAAGCGAGAAATCAAGCCGCCTGCTCCAGGACTCAAACCATGGTTGGCCATGTGTGAGTCTAGTGCCTTAATCACCACGCCACCTGCCAGCCCCTAAATAATTCTTTTGAAAGTATTAAAAAAAAAAAAAAAAGAAGAAAAGAAAAACTCTCCAGGCGTGTGCATGCATGCCCAAATTTCCAACAGGATGGAGAAATGGAGGGGAAGAGGCGGCAGTGTGACAGTGCCCCACTCGGGGGTGCTTTCTCCCTCTCCTTCTCTTCCTGGCAAGCGCACGAGCCCTCTGGCAAGTTTTTAAGAACTCATGACTCTTCATCTCTAAATGACAACATTGCATCATCATCATCCTCATATTATTGCAATATAGAACAATAACACTCCTAGATGGAGCTGTACTTAACCTTCTGGTACTTAACAAGATCCTATGCTGAATCTCTGAGCCCGAAGCTTCTCTTATAAACCGCTTGTATTTCCACCCTCCTGCACGTTAGCACTGTTTTCAGAGAGGAGATAATGGATCAAGAAGAGAGGACTCCATTTCCGGAGTTGACGGTGGCGCTAAGGCACGATGGAGAAGAGCACTTACCCATTGTGCCCGTGAAGCCTGCGTCCCTTCGTCTGTGCCCTGGGATGGCAGGACTAGTGGCCTCTGCATAATCTGAAGGACTGGATGAGGACCCTCGCGCACAGCGCCGTACCTACGGTGTGCGTGCTCAGTGACCGCGCTGCGCAGTTAGCCAGTAGCTGAACTTCCAAGCCGAGCGCTCTGGCCTCTGTTGACATGTCGCTTGTATTTGCAGCTAGGAAAGCAGTTCTTGTCTTCTGTCCATTTGGCATTTGAACCAGGCTATAGTTAAAACCGTGTAGAGGGCCAGCAGGCAATGTGGAGGTTAAGGCACTGGGTCCCATGTAACTGAGGGTGTGGTTCAAGTCCCAGACCCAGAGGCTTGGAAGTCATGCTGGATGTGCATATGTGTGTGTGTGCCCCAGATCCCGAGAGAATGGAGAAGGGATTTGGTGTCACTGTGGCCATCCCTCTGGGGGGTGCTTTCTCATTTCCCGTCTCACTCTGTCTTTTTCTGTCACTGTCTCTCTCTGGTGACTACATGCACCCTTTAGCAAAAACTTAAAAAAGAAATAATCATCATAGTAATAAAAAAGAGAAGTGTTGATTTATGTTAACCTGTATGCAACAAAACCAATGGTTTCAGAAACAAATGAACACCACGAGTGGGTGTCTGAATTTCACATTCGGTTATTTTTTTCGGTAGTTTAAATAACTAAAATTTGGTCACATTGGGCTTGCAAACAAACAAACAGAACAACAACAATGGCAAACAAAATCAAAGCCTTCAGGAACTGCAGGTGGCATGGCAATTAAGGTGCTAGATCCCACATCGACGACTGTGGTTCAAGTCCTGAACCTGGTGGCTTGAGAAGTATACTGGGTGCATATGTGCGCATACCCAAAATCTAGAAAGGAGAATGGAAGAGAAGGGAATATGGTGTAGCCATCCCCTCCTGGGGGGTGATTTCTCATGTTCCCTCTCACTGTCTCTCTCCAGGAAGTGCACATGCCCTATGGAGAAAACTAAAAAAACAAAAAAAAAACCAGGGTCTTGATTTCACACAGATAGAACTTTCTGTCATCTCCCATGCTCTCTCTCTTTATTTTTTTATTATTATTTTTTTTTTTACTGAGAAAAATGTCCCTGCATTGAACTCACAGAACCAGTTTGTTTTAAAGGAGCAGTCTAGGTAACATGTATGTCCGTTTGTTATTATTGCTTTGCACGGTGGTTGTCAAGCGCTGTGCAGTTTGAATGTTGCGTTGGCCCAATTCACACTGGCCTTGCCTGAAAGCCTTGGAGTTAACGAGGGCGTCAGTTTCAGTTCACACGACACATGTCGTTGCCTATCTCTACCCGCCCTTTAAACCGAAGTCATAGCTTCAGTTCTTGTCACTGGCGTCCAGAGAGCCAGTCGCTGCCAGGACAACGCTGAATACATCTCAGGGACGAAAAAAAACAGAAACCTCCAGATCCTGGCGATTTCCCTGCACATTAAATGCACATGATCTGATCTTGCTTATTAACGAGCTAGAGTGCAGAGGGGTTGCAGCTATTACTGAGCGGGACAGGGTGCACTCAGCTCCCTGGTGCCAGGAAGAGCTGGCATTCTCCGGCCAAGTGAGAGGGAGCAATGTGGAGGAATCCCAGCAGTGCCCTTCAGAGGACAGCCAGATGTGCACGGCTTTGGGAAGCAAACACTCGGGGCACCTGACATCACTAAAATGTTTACAGAGCTACCGTGTCGATTAGAAATTGACGTAGTGGACAGAAGAGAAAGGGGCACAGTTAGGGCCACCAGCTGGATGTTACACAAAAACCCACTTGGCCTTCACATGAAGATGTTTGGGGCCAGCTGGCGGCATGGTGGCTAAGGCCAACTGCAGTTAGAGTCATGGACCCGGCGGCGTGGAAAACGTGCAGGACACGCGTGTGCATGCATGTCTAAAATCCTAAGAGAATGGAGGCGTGGGGATTGCAGAGTGGCCCTCTCCCAGCGAGTGCTTTCTCACATTCTCTCTTTCTAGTGAGTGCATGCTCTAGAGCACATTAATAAACAACAACCAGCAGAAAACCGAGTATCTTTCTAGTCATCGCAGCCCACAAGCTGATACCCTCACGTCTTTCTCTCTGATCTCAGGATAGCTGCCTCGGTGGGTAGTAGTAAGCCCCCAGCAATGACGTTCCCTAAGTTCAGCGAGCAGGCGCAGGGGAGGCGCAAACCCTCAGAGGGCGTTAGAATGATTTGCTTAGAAAAAAATAACGGCTTCATTAAGATACAGTTTACACACCGTAAAATGTGCCTGCTTAGACAGTTGGTGGTTTTTAATATAGTCACAAAGTTGTGCAACGTCACCCTTCTCTGATTTTAGAACATTTTAATTACCTTACGAGAAAGCCCCATTCCCATCAGCAGACACTTCTCATCCTCTGCTTCCCGGGCCTAGGCAGCCAGTAGGGTATTTTCTCATCCTAAGGATTTCTTTTTAAAGAATTTTTTTTGACCTTTATTTTACTTGTCTATCTATTTCTTTTTAAAATTTTAAAATTATTATTCGTACGTGAAATTGCTATACATCAGTTAGATCGTGAAGAGACTTTACCAGCATGATGCACACCTCAGTCCAGCCCAGCTGAGACTGTTACACACATCCTCGTCAACAGATAATAAACCTTATCTGTGTCCCACAAGTGTCTTACCTCTCCATTCCCCCCCCCCACGGTTTCTTTTCTCTGGACAGCAACCTGTCTTAGTTTCTATGATCTGTCGCTCTGCCCCTCCCTCCCTCTCCTTCCACTTTGTCTCCAGTGTCCATTACAGTTTTTAATGCTTTTATGTTCTCCGGTCTTTCAGTCTCTAGAAAGCAAGAGAAAGCAAGAAAGCAAACTGCCGGGTCCAGGACTCAAACCGCGGTCGGCCATATGAGAGTCCAGTGGCCTTAACCATCACACCCCTTGCTGGCCCCCTGACCCTAAGGATTTCTTAGTCTGGACATTTCATATAAACAGGGTCAAACAATAGGTAGTCTTTCATGACTGAATTCTTTCACTGAGCATGTTTCCAACTCTCCTCACAGGGCGTGTCTCTGAACTTGGCTGCTTTGTATCCGATGACAAGGACTCTGCCTTCGGTTTCTCAACCCTGAGACCTCACCCCCAGGCTGAGCACTTGACTCTCCTCTTGCCTATCGCATCATAAAAGGCTCCCTCGTCTTCTCCATCGCATTCTGCAAGTTCAGCTTTTACTATGATTTCAAACAGCATTAGCCTTCATTTTCCAGAATGAGAACATTGAACAAAAAAGAAGTGATAGGGGTTGGCAGGTGGCGTGGTGATTACGGGTGCTGGACTCCCACATGGCTGGCTGTGGTTTGAGTCCCGGACCTGGCGGCTTGTT